CCCTCTCGTTTGGCTTAACTTGGTAAAGCAATAGAAAAGAAGCCTGGTACTGCACCAATGTGCTMTATCACCAGGACAAGCCGATACGTTTTATACTATTGGAAAAAAAGGGCCATTGTTAGTTTCAGTCTGCTAAGACAAGCTCTAAGTTCAGGCCTAAGTTCTAACGATAACTTGCGGCTGCTGTTCCACAAAGTACATAAGTGGTACTATGCAGGCCAGAAGTTGCACAACTAAATGGGCCTAAATACCTGGAAGAGAAGAACAGTGATTACATTCCTGAGAATGTGAACTGTCTCTCTGGAGAGCTCTCCTGATTTTGACTTAAGTGTTTGCAGTAATATCTATGTTGGGTCTGTATAAAGCTTCTAGAGTAGGTGGAGATTAGAGCTCATTAGGCTCCCTGAGCACAGGAGGGTTCTGATGGACTGAACTCCATGCATGTATGTGTGAGGGGGCAGCGAAGGAAACTGGATATTGTTAGTATATACTGTTGAATGTATGTAAAAGTTTGGCARGCCGCTTCCGTGCATCCTAAATACGAAATGGGCAGTCAGAAGAAYGACAGTGCGATGCAAGTGCCGGGAGTGTCCTGTGCGGGGCTGGATCTGCTTCTCCTCTGCAGCTGAAAAAGTGGTCCACTAACACAAAGTACCTTAGGTTTGTTTCAGCTGAATTGTGGGGCTTTTTTTGTTGTTGCTTTTTTTTTGTTTGTTTGTGTTTTTTGTACTCCAGGCGGAAACATTTATCTAAGAACAACAGAGCTGACTGGGTAGCAGGTGAGGGATGTGTGTTACAGGGGCAACACAAACTGAACTCAAAAGTGTTTAATCCACAGCCAAGAAAAAAAGCTATATTGGAGTGTTTGAAGTGCTAATGTAACAGTTTTGAATAAACTTAGTTTGGGGCTTTGCATTTAAAGAAAGATGTGGACAGAGAATCATGAGAAGAGCAATRATGAGAGAGGAAAGGGGTTTGGAGCCGTGTGGCTTCCGAGAAGGGATGGAACCAATGGCAGTTGTGTAGCTTTGGCAAGAGAAGGCTCAAGGAGGCTCTTGGTCTGACCACCTACCTGTTTGGCTAGAAAACTGTAGGCTACTGCATCTCACAGGCTGCCTGTAGGGTTGTCTTGTTTCCTGCTGTCAACACTTTAGAAGGTACTTTGAAAAACAAGTTATAGCAATTAATAATGTACTGCTTTGCTCCTATTTGCAGCTATGAGGCAATAGCTCTGCTGTGAACTGTCCTTTGCTGTAAGAACTCAGGGAGGTGGGAGGGGGACACTGAATGTCACTCAGCTTTATGGGATATAAAGATTTTCTACTTTCTTTTATAACTAGGTTATACAGATCTAATTGCTACTGAGCAATTAGAATCTAATAATGATCTCACATCTGTTTCCTCTGTTTTATCAGTTAAAAGTTGTTTCWCGTGGTGCTAAACAACAGCTTATAAGAGAATGTTTTAAAGATTACTTTTCATTCCTTACGYCCTGACCTAATTGAGTTTGTGCAAAATCTTTGCTACATACATGCTGTGTTCTTTTTGTRGATGTTTTTAGGTGGGGAAAATGTTCTTGGTGTTTGTTTCTTTTTTTGTGTGTTTTGTTTTCTTTGAGGGATGAGGGGGTGGAACTTTCTTTTAAGATGCTGGGGAAAAATGCATCAAAAATACCACAGACCTTAAACAAGGTTGGCTCCTACCTTGCTATTTTGCATATGAATCTAATGCATGATTTGCCTCTCCTTCAATTTCATCTTCTCTTTTGGAGTAAATCTGATTATTAATCATAAGCAACTCTGTTAACTTCTCCAGTTTGCATGGCATGTTTCAAAAGGCTGGTTTATTCATTTAAAAAAAAACAAACCCTTTAGCTTTTAATAGTWTGAAAAATATTGGCAAGTTACTTAAAACTTCAATTTAAGCTTTAACTTRATTATAAATATTGCATGAAAACAGTGGGGTAAGGGAAGAATTAATGTATATATTGAACTGGACAGAGCTAGAAGATACTGTGGAGCAGTTCTGTATGTAGTTCTGTAATTGTACCATTACACTGTCACAATACAAACCTTGGCTTCTGTTCACCAGCGCTTTTTTCTAGAAGTTCCAAGGATGTGCCAGAACCATCAGCACACACTGAAAAACGGAGAATCTACAAGTCAGTTCAGATGACTTTCTAAGAAATGAGAAATGTGTTAGGTTTGTTTCTTCTAATTTGACCTAGCAGTGGCATACGGGAAATATTTTCTCATTCCGCCATAACTCAATGGCACGGAGCCTTACAAAAGCAATTGATAAAACCTATTTAYAAATGTTAGTATTTAGCCTCAGTACTTTCCAGCTGAATGATGCTAGCCATTATGTATTTTCATAGTTTAATATTTCAACATCAAAATAGCCTTATTTAAAGTTATAGGCAACATGTTCCCAAACCCTTTTCCTACTTTGAGTTGGGATACCATCTCTAGACATGTTGACAACCATATATAATGGTTCTTATGCCGCAGTGATCTAGCCTTGCTTCTGCGTGCAGGGATCTGGCTTGCAGGCTGGTGTCATYTTGAACACTCACTTGTCTCTCCTTCTGGTTCTAGGCTTTTGAGTTGCAGACAGGTCACATGTTTTGTCAGTTGTGGTTCTAACGTGTAATTTCTTGGCTTCAGTATTTCAAAGAGGCTCAAATTAAAAGCTCTTCCTTTCACAGTGTGTTGAATGAAGATAGAAGGCAAAGTTGCTCTATTTAGACTTTCGGAACTTATATAAAGCTTTTAAAATTAAAGTTTTCTATTATCATTAATAGCTTATAAAAACTCGTATAACTCACAGATAGTATGAATTATAACTTTGTCTTGTAGTGTGGGAACGCTTTCCAAAGGATACAACACGAGCATGTCCCTGGGGTATTCTTTATATAAGGAAATATGTATCTGATTTTTCTCCTTCCTTAAGAAAGAAAAACTTAAGGAAGTCATTTTTGTGTTGGCTTTTGTAGCTTTCCCAGTGTAGTAAATACAAAATATTCRTTGTTCAGTTGGAAGGTTTTTGTGTAATTCCTGCCCCTTTCCCCCAGCCTTGTGTAACTTCCTCTGCAACTTGTGTTTCTTTTTTCAGTATCTTTATAGCTTCAGCTACTCAGGAGGAAGGTTAGGAGTTGATGGGTGGAGATGGGTAAAATTCCTACAAGTATTCCTCTAGTTTCTCTTCTAGTGTTGCAATCAGATAGTAGTTGAAACCAAAAATATGCCTAAGTTTTTGTAAATGCTTGTTAAGTTTCCTTAGTATCTTAAATGAGACTTAAATAGAAATAAAGAACTTTTTTTTTTCTTTCTCTCTCTTCTCTCTCCCCACTTTCAACCTGTTCACTCTAAGGTGTGTTAAAAGAATGTAAGATGGACTTCCTATAATCAGCTTAGTTTGAAGAGGTTTGCCTGAGTGTGTTTGCTTCTGGTAATGACAGTCCAAATGCCTGGATTAAAGGGAACGTGTTAGGGATCACTTAGGCAGGCCGGATGTGCCCGGGCTGCGGGCCCTGATGGGAGGTACCTGAGCATGCAGAGAATTGGGTGGATGTCAAAGGAGAGGACCACCCTCCTTCTTTGAAAGGACATGGAGAGTGAGAGGTGCCTGAGGACCAGAATGTCACTCGAACCTTCAGAAAGAGCAAGGAGGAGCACCCAGGGAATGACAGGGCAGTTGCCTCACTTTGGTCCTTGTAAAGCTGATGGAGCTGCTCATCCTGAACCCCATCTCCAGGCACAGGAAGGACAAGATGACCAGTAGTAGTCAGCATGGATTCCCAAAGGGGAAATCGTGTTTCACCAGCCTCTCCAGTGCAGAATGACAGAGAGAGCAGGGCTTGTGCTGTGTGGTGAAGAGAGGGCGTGAGAGAGGGAGTCTTATCAAAGTATCTCAAGGGGGGAGTGTAGGGAAGATGAGGAGATGGGGTCAGACCCTTCCAGTGGTGCCCAGTGACAAGGTGAGAGGCAGCAGGCAGGGACAAACACAGGCAGGTTCCTCCCGAACAAGGGGATGCCAGTGGGTCTGACTAGGGACATTTTCAGAGGTCCCTTCTAATCKCAACCATTTCATGCAAGTCCATGAAAAGTACAGTTGGACTTGGTGATCTTATAATGGTTGGAAAGGCCCTTTGATTCTCTTAAGTCTAGTTAATTGCCCTGCACCATGAAGACTTACAGATCCATTTTATTCTTTTCCAAGGTATTTCTGGCTCCTTAAATTAAATGTCGAAGAGTAGAAGCTTTATGACAGACCTGACCCTTTAAAAGGGGTGTGCATGTATATGTGTGAGTTTATATATATATATATACACACACACACACATAATACTGTCCTGAAAATGTAAAATTAAATGATGTCCGTTGAATCTTACAGTTCACTTGTGCTGTCTTCATGTTTTCAAGTTCTTTGGGAGTATCTTTACCGCGTATGCAAGGGTAGTTGTGCTTTGCACGTTCCCTATGTGTTTCTTACAGGTAGGGTAATATTGAAGTTATGTATGAATGTACTTTGCTTAATCTAAAGCTTTAAATGTTCTGCCCTTAGCAGGCAGCAGTTGGCTCAAAAAGCTGTGACATTAATTAGATCTAACTTGCAGGAGCTCTAGATCATTTCCCTCTAAACCAAAGCAGCCTGGGTGATATAAAACCGATTAAACRCAGCGGTTCCAAAAGCACTACCTGTCTGATGAAGTCGACCACCTATTTCTTCTTCTTTTGATAATGATTTCCTAGATACTCAAAGTACTTGCGTTAATTGTTTCCCTGTTGTCAGTGGCTTGTACTGGTTGAAATCCTAGAGCACTGCAGAGGAATGAAGTCCCTATTCCAGCAGCTGGCTGCCTGTCAGGCAGGCACTCATGGGGAGCAAGCTGTGTAACTGCTGAGTGAGACGTCTGCTCACGAGGCTGCCCTCAGCAGCCTGTGGCAACACCAAGAGGACTATGGATTTAACAAGCATGTTGCCTCCCTGTTTTTCAGACACTGGCCAGAAGAAGACCCAGGACAAGAAAGATGGTCGGCGAATGTCTTTTCAGAAGCCCAAAGGGACTCTTGAATATCCTGTAAGTTGCTGCTTGTTTATGAGAATGTCATTGCATAGCAAGTTCAGATGCAAAAAGTTTYGCTACAAAATATAAGCAAAACAAGAGTTTGCATTGCTTCTAATGCTGTGTATGTTATAGCTCATTTTTAACAGGAGTTAAATCAAAAATTAAGTAACTATACTATTTAAGCAAGGCTGATGCTTTCTTGCCTCTACCCCKCCCATGCAAGTTATCTTTTTCTTCAGGAAAGCAATAAATCAGATGAGTGAGTGATTCATGYGAAGGTAACTAGTCACAAAAAACAATGTTTGTTATGAAAACATGTGCAGTTTCCCCTTTCAGCATTGTTAAACTGTTGACGTCAGTAGAAATAATAGAATAAGGGTTTTGTTTGGGAGTGGGAGGCAGGCTATATCTTAGTAGCTGACATTCCACTGTTCTTCTGATAATTTTCATGATTTCGATGTTATTCAGTGCAGATTTGTTTTTCCAGTATTATCTGAAAATGGAGCCTTTCTATTCCTGTTCTGTTCTTGAAATGACCCTCAAACTGTGCTGCAGTCAGCTTTTCACATTTGTGGTTACTAAGGGAAACTGAAGTGAGAAGTATCTGTTTTGTGTTATATCCTGGAAATATAATTAAGCACAGAAATAATGCTTATAGAGCTCACGTTAAAATAGGGAAGTCTATTTTTGTATACTTTGGAAGCTGGACATGATAACATAAAAGCGAGAACTTCTCTAAAGAAGTGTGTACTTTGTCTCTGGGTGTTCTGTTAATGAAAGMGGAGATACAATGAAGATTTAACTGTTAACGTTATGTTAAACAAAACTATGATAAGGCTAACCTTAAGAAGTCTGTAATTATTACTTGGGGAGAGGCAGAGGGTGTGCATTTATGGGGCTGACATGAACTTTAGCATGGCTCATATTGTAACTTAAATGTAATTCTACTATATTAAACATTTTCTGAAAGCTGAAATTTAAAGAGACCCTACTACTAGATTTAAGCAACTGAAGATGGTAAGAAGTTTTTGTTTCTGTTTCTATACATTTACCACAACATGTCTAAAAATAATAGGGAAAATATGGTCAGGTGTAACTCAACCTGATATTCCAATTCAATTAGTAAATATTTTAAGYTATCTCTTGCCACCATGTACGTGCTCTAATATGCAGGATTCCAAACAAAACAAAGCAATAAGTTTTCCTTTATTTATAAGTTAGTAATTTACCAGTAGGGACTACTTCCTGGTGAATTCTATTTTAGTAAGCRTAAGGAGAGCTTCTAAAGTAGCCATGTGTGTCTGTAACATGTTGCATTTTGACTCCAYGGGGTAAGTATTCTGCTCGGGCTTGCTGTGAATTTCCATTGCAAGATATTTCAGTAATACCAATTTTTCAGAGCTTTCATTTGTTATRTGCATATATTTTAGTATAACACAAATACCTAATTTCCAGAGTCTARTGGTTATATTCACTGTACATACAGTTATATTCACTAGGTATACAAAAGAGGATTTCTAACTACTGCGATAGCTTGCAACCACTATCATTCATCATTCATGTCTTTATCATGCAGGAAGAGATGATTTCTGCTTTTGTCCTTCTACTATTTCTCAAAGCAGCAACACTTTCTACATATTTTCTAGTATTGTTGAAAAATTGTGGATTTTCTTTTTTTAAATATATATTAGCTTTTTTAGTGACTGTGTATTTTCTTAAGGGGGAAGGCTTTATAATTGGTATTCCTAAAGCTGAGTGAGGCAAAATCTTGTTGATGCCAATGATACATTTATTGTGTGTATATGTATTTTTTAAGGTAAAATGCACTTGAGTTTTTATCAGTTTAAAAACTTTTGACTGACTTTTAGCTTTGTTTTCCAAGACCAAACATGTTGTTATGATTYCTTTTTTTTTTTTTTTTGCCCCARAAGTGAAGTTCATAAATCCCCCAAAGCATGAAAATGTAAACTACTGCTTCAYATGCAACTAACAGGAAGATGGTCTCAGATTTGGTACTGAGGGAAGAAAGCAGTGCAAGTTTGCCAAGGCTAATAGATTTAAAGAAATAATATGCTGGTTGTCAGTGGTTGTCGGTTTATTTTTACTGTTGCTGCTTTAGACAGTCTTTAATTTTTTTTTTTCTTTTTTTTTTCCCTCTCTCTCTACGAGTTAGAATAGCTTCGCTTCTCTTCTGAAATCTGTACTGATTGGYATCAAATCCATTAATTCTGGTATTCAGAAATGAGTCAGTGTTCCAGTTAAGTTATATGTGAAGGATGACAATATGATGTATACGAACAACACAGCAAGTATAACCAACAAAGCACRTCGCTTATGTGGACTTGTTGCTAACTCGGATTTTCTAATTGTGTTTTTTCATTGTTTGTTTTAAATTCATTATATACAAAAGTCTCTTACATGTTCTACAAGCACAGCTCCTGCTCAGCTCGTGTTGGGATAGCCTATTACAGATCAATGCTGATCATGGATGAGCGATGATGCTGGCTTGACAGCAGTTTGACTTCAGCAGGTGCTTTTTAACCCCTGTTTTATTTAGAGAGAGAGAGAGAGAAAGAATATAGCAGTGGCTGTTTACAGGTGTTGACTCTGAAGTGCAAAGGACTGTATAGCGGAAGAATATTTCTTTTGACAATTAACAAGTAGGCAGTTCTTGCTCRTCAATGGCAAAGGCTCAAATCTAGGATTCTCTGCCTTTCTTTTCCCTCTGGGTCATTAAGCAGTGAAGCAGCTAATATACAGAGGCTGTGATCCAGCCTGTGACAAGAACCTGATACAAATCACAGGTCGCACAAGAAGYCTATAATAGGGCAGAGCTTTAAAACTGGGTCTTAAGCTGAAGTCCTCACTGTTGATCTGACAGTCTTCTGGCATGGAATGATGTCCCAGGTATTTACAGTTAAGTCAGTCTCTGCAGCTAGGTGCAGCCTGGGTTAGATGCTAGTCTGTACGTTGAGAACAAAACTACGATGGCTTCTGAGCCCATCTTTAAATAAAATGAGGAAGAATTTTTGATSCTCTCTTTGCTCATGGGATGTGGGTGGCAAGTGACTGTGAAAGAGTAGATGGTTTGCTGGCTTTTTGAAGGCATGTGTGCACCTCAATTTTTATTGCAAGGACTTGATGCTACTCTGGGAGCAGGGAAAGGATGGAGGTCTGCTCATGTGTTCCTAGAGAAGTGGATTTTGCTTTCAGAACTAGGGTGGCTTGGAGAGAGACTTCTAAAGGCTGTTTCCTGAGGTGGACCTGGTTTCTCATCCTCATCAGCCTTTGTKTTCTAGATATAACCCTACACATGAATCTGTTTCTTGGCACTACATTTCAAAGCTGGACCTTGTGCTCCTGCCTGAGTGTCACTTTTTGAGCTTTCTCCAGTCTAGTCTTGCTAAATCTGGGCAGTTTAGCAAATGTGGATCATAATGATTATATGATACTCTATCTTTTGCCGAACTCTGAGATTAATTTTTGGGGAGGTGCCTTTATTGTATGTAAAGGTTCCATTTACCTGCTGTTGCATGTTACAGAACCTATGCATGTTAAAGATCAGTTAATGTAGCCAGCGTCTGCTATTTCTAAGGCTTTATTATAGCCCCGCTCAATGCTTTACTCCCCTGCTTCTTCACTTCTCCAACCTTCCCAGCCTCTAACTCTTTGTTAGTTCTAATACTGTTCAGATAGTGTTTTTTTATGTTTTTTAGATGATTAGTTTTTGAATATTGCAGAACAGCTTCTTCATTTATTCTGATTCCTGTGTGCGTATGTGTAACTTTTCATGGAAGAATGAGTAAACTTCAGCTGCAGAGCTGTAAAGACAATTAAGTACATTAGCATATCAGTGGAGAGTTTGGTTTTAAATTAGTTATTTGAAGTAACTTTGCCAGCTGTTGATCTGGTAAAACTTGAAGGCAATCAAGTCTATAGTGACTCTTTGAAGCTGTTTATCCACTGGGACTCCCCTGCCTCCCCCAGCAGGCATGAATACAGGTAATGCTGTGCAAGTGGAAAAGGGATAGTGTGATTTACATACAATTAACAGAAAAGAACAGGAAAGAATTACTTGGAGAGAGAGAGTGGCTCATATTGAATAGATTTTTGGAGGCAGGGTGAGAATAAGAACTTTGAAGATTTTTCAAAAACCTCATTTGAAAAGCACCTGCTTCTGGTACTTACRGTTCATCAGCAGTTGCACTAGCTGATTTGTTTTGCCTCTCTCTCTCTTTTAGTCTTGGTAATGGTCTTACTGAAAAATCAGATTAACAGAAGGTTATTTCAATAGGAAGAGAGTGTGTTAGTTGTTATAGATTGTTTCAGCTTTCCTCTAAAGGCAAAACAGAACAAGGGAGTGAAGAGGGAGAATGAGATGCTCTGTGAAACTAGTCACATAGTGGCCCAGTGGTACCCAGCAGTGAATTCCCAGGTCAAAAGTTCTGCTCCAATATTTGAGTCCTCACCAGTGTGTGCAAGTGACATTTCTGGCTACTGGAAACAGAGTGGGAAGGCAGATGTCTTCGTCTAGGCAACTAGCATTCAGCAACTAGTTCTTGGTCAATCGTAAGATATGAAAGGTTAAAGTTCATTTAAAAAAAAAAAAAAAAAAAACTTTGTAAAGCTGGTCTTCATGTAGTAAAATTCGTAAAGCATTATTTAAACCAACTGCTTACACGTTTGTTTTCTTGTCCCCGATTGATACAGGTGGAATCAAGAGATACGTTAAACAGTATTGCCCTGAAATTTGATACAACACCCAATGAACTGGTCCAGTTAAATAAGCTTTTCTCCAGAGCAGTCGTTCCTGGACAGGTACTATTACATTATGTCTGTTACTCATGGCATTGAACAAAGACTTTTTTTTCCCCCCTTTCCTCCATACTTTTTGCTTCTACCAGAGAAAGTGTTAAAGTACTTCTCATGAYTTTTCACATTGATTTTATGTAAGACTTTAATTTACTTTGAGTTCTTTGCACCTATTAACTATCTAAAAAGGAAAATGAGATTAACTATCTGCTTTTCTCAAATAAAATCTGGGGGCTCTTAACTTTAAAACTAAATGTATTTAATTGTATCATGACACTTAAGTATAAGCTAAATGGCTRCCCAGCTAGTCTAACAGGCCGTTGATCAGCTCTTACTCGGAGGATAAATTCAGGATGCAGTGTACAAGCAACATTCCTAACTGTTAATGCTTGCAATTCTGTTTAAATTGATGAAAGTTTTCACTCCATCCTGAAAACTTGCAGTCTCTTTTACCTGGAGCATAAGAATTATCACTTTTTTTCTTCTTATGACTCACTACTGCTTACTTATCCCTCTCCCCCTTTCATCCTACACCCTCTACTTTTTACTTCTCTTCAGAAGCCAGACCTGGAAACAAGTCACCAGCTACCATATTAGAAGAAACTATTTGATAAAAAGCCCTTCTTGTTTAAAGCATAATGTCTTATTTATCTGTAATTGCTGAAAAACTTTGTCTATGTAGCTTAATAGCCTACCACATCAAAGATTAATGTATTCAAGAAGTAGATAACTGAATTARCACTCAATTTGAAAAATTAAAGTTAAGAGCCACATCTGTAAACTTGTTTTCCAGACTCCTACTTGGCTGTTCAAATAGTAAAATAACATGAGAAGTAATCGGTCAGATCTGCCTTCCACACTGCGTTGGGYGACTCCGACATATTGTGTATTTTTAATGCTTTCTCTTTGAGGCTTTTGTTTTCCTCAATTACTTTGACTAAAGACCAGTCTTATCTTAAGATGGCATTTATAACCTTTGAAAGTTTAAAAGATTAATTATTTTGTTTTGGTAGTGTGCTATTGTTTAAAAGTTCCTTTATGAGAAAGTTGTAGGATTAAAGTTACTCTTTTTGAAGCAGTGATTGCAGTAGTGTTCACAAATGACACTCTCGTGTAATTACATCTCTGTATGCRTATAAAAATACATATAGGCACATATATAAGTAAACTAGGACAGAAATGATTTTGTTGTAGCTTACTTTGAGAAAGCATAGCAAATATAAGTGAACTAATGGGAAAGTTAAACTGAAAACTACATTACTAAAYTGAAAGTTAAACTTCTAACTACATTATATCTCTTTATAGATTTTGTATGTTCCTGACCCAGACTACATTTCTAGTGTGGACAGCTCCCCTTCTCTAAGTCCTATAAGTCCCTTATCACCTACATCATCAGAAGCAGAGTTTGACAAGGCTACAGTCAATGTATGTATACCTGTTGTGATTAAAATTAGTTTTCCCTTTTGAGATAACCAGTATGAATGTAATGCTTTCTTCTAAGAGTGTTTTCTCATTCTGGGGAGAATGTTGGAGTTAAACTAAAATGATGCCTTGTTTTAAGGACGCTTTTCTATATGAAAACCCATAGGTAAAATAATTTGTAGCAAAATACTGTCTTTCTACATGGATACCTTGAATACTATTTCCAGTTGCATTTGCTTTTGATCTTATCCCTCAGAAATAGTTACACACTTTATCTCTGATCTTTCTGATATGTTACTAACAGTTGATCAGGCTACTCGGAGAGATAAACTGAAGGGTTTTTGCRCTCTGTAGAGAAGGAGAGGTTGGCTCCATTTTTGCTTGGTGAAACTAAAACTGCTTCAATGAAATGCTGATTGTGAAGGTGATGATAGCCTCTCTTTATTCAGTGGGTCTTCCACCTTTTAGATAGTAAAATATGGAGCTCTTCAGGCTCTCCTGTAATTCAACTTGAATATCTAGGAGCTAGATTTACAAAAGCATGGCTTTTCAGGTTTACTGTTGTTATTTTGCTATTGACAGAATTTCATGGCAAGAACTCAAATCAGGAAGATGTAGTCTCTGGAACTTTAGTTTCTCAATAGCTTGTATAACTCTGACCTCATTCAGTTGCTCCTATATGCCAGTCCTATTCTTTGCCTGGCTGTGATCCTTTTTCCCAGGTAACAGGTACTTTTGCCAGTACTTAATACAGTATCTGAATGAGCTGTTKGGCATCTCTTCCAGGACTCGGCGCTAAAATCCTGCATGGGCTTTAAAAGATCTTAGGAGATTTGATAGTATGATGGGGTGATTATGTGTGTGAGTGGTGCAGTGTTGATTCTTCTAAAAGTTAGCATATATTTTTGCTGTCCTGTACTTTTAATCTGACACAGTATGGCTATTTTAACAAGATGTTTCATTTTCAGTTATAATAAACAATTTCTTCTATATTGTATGATAAAGATTTGTAGCAGACTGATCAGTGAGCAGGAATGTGTTGAAGTYTGTCTTGGAGTGATTCTACATGCTAGCATAGGGCTAACCATATAGTACAAGTGAAAAGTTGCTCAGGGGAAAAATAAGAGTGCTAATAAAAATWAAATAACAGTGTTTAAGCTTCTATTTCTGAGGCTTTTTAACTCTATGTGGGTAAGAGGTGTTCCTAGACATGTTTCTTAACAAAAAAAAAAAAAAAATCAGTTGCGTTTCATATTTTATAACGATTCTGTGGCAACACGCATACTCTTTGACATATGTTTGAGAAGTTCAAGTTGGAGGCTTGTTTGCTGCTCTTCAGTACCTGTTTTTCCTATATCTTTTTCCCCTCTTTACTGGTTAATAACCTTATTAAATGGGAGCAGTATTGGAATATGTTCTCTAATGTTTCGTATTTAAATACGAACTATGACTCCCCTCTAATTTTGACTCTGGGTTTGTGGTTTAACTAGAAATGTGACAAATCAAAGAGGATATGTTACTCTCTGAAGAGGCTGTATCTTCTGTCTGTTGGAATCCAGGTTGAAATTGGGCACTTCCTCACTAGAAACTGCATGAGCGAAGTAGGCAGCATCAGTCTGAAAAGACTTTTGCCTCAGCAGAGGTTCACATGTTGAGCTCTTGTGTTTTACTCCTTCATTTCCATTTTATCAAGCATTAGAGTCATCTCAGTCAACTCAGCGGAGTCATCTGACAAAAAATACATCAATGCATAGGTAGTGTAAGGCTATGATATGCTTGACCTGTGTTGCTTTGCTTAAGCTAAAATTGCRATGTCTTATTTTCAATAAGCTTGTTTTTTATCAGTCTACCTCTAAGTAATTAGCTTAAATGTAAACCTTTGCTATGCTCCTGGTCACATGAAGGGTGTCCTCATCTAAAATCTGAGGCATGAATTTAAGCTTCCATAGTCTCTAGCACCTACAAAACTCAAAATCCCATTCAAGCTAATGTGTAGTGACAAGAATGTTGTCATTTGAGAAAAATCTGCCATCAATATTGCCCAAGTTATGTATTGCAAAGGAATATGGACAAGAAATAACCAGGATGTTTCCAATGGATTTTGGATAGCATCTGGGACCTTTGGATCTCCTCTTTAAGCTGTTGCGAAGGTGATCATGTATTTTTCTGAAAGAAGGGCTTATGTGGAAATAAAACTCATGCCCAGGAAGGCCACTTTAACTGTATCACCATTAGCACCATTAACTTTTTAGTGGTTCTTTTTTTTTCTTTCTCCCCTCTCTTCTCCTTATCAGTAAAATACAGTTTTCTCCCCTAAGATTTGGGTGTATGTGTTTGTCTATTTGCTTTTGTTTCCCCTCTTCCCGAAGAGAGGAAAAAAAAAAAAAGCGAGCACAGCAAAGGCTTAAGTAGTGCCATGGAGATGATGTACAGACAATGTACAGAAAACAGTAGCACATGTATCTCCTGATGTGATTGAGACCAATTAGGGTAATATCCACTAGCGACCTGCATAGAAAAGCATAAAAACAAAGGGGACACAGAAATAATAATTCCTTTGCAGATAGTGTGATCTTTATTAATAACCTCAAGAAAGAGCTACATATGGAACAGAAGTCTGTAAATGCTGACAAATTCCAAGCAGCGCTGTTGACCTGAAAAACAGTCTTTGGAGAAGTCTATCTTCTTTATCTGTAGTTTTTATTTTAAATCAATTTTTCATTGGAGGTTTGGACTTTTGTTGTCATTAAAAAAGCCTTGTTTTGTTTTTTGATGTACTGATAGCAGAATAGATAACATTCATTCCCATTTGCCTGAGGAGTTCATGAAACGGATTCTACCAGAACTCAACTTGAAGCATCTGATAAACATGAAGGTGTCTGGGAACACCAAGCATGGACTTAGCAAGGGTAAATGACACCTGCTGAACCTATTCACCTTCCAGCATGTGAAGGTTGGCTCAGTAGCAGAGGGGAGAGCAGTAGATATTTACCCTGACAAGAGCAGGGCCTTTGACATTATCCTAAAGCAGTGCTATAAACATATGGGTAGTGTAGACTGTGAGAGCAGATGAAAAACCAATGAGACCTTTGGACTCTGATTCCAGATGTGTTTGTGGGGATTTGTTTGTCTCTTTGTGAGATGCAGGGTGGACAGTTAAAAAATCCTTTGGCTGTTTACTTTGGCCAGTACTGTTTTATTTATTAATCAGTGATCCCATAGTGGGAGTGAGCTTGCCCTCAGTAACTGTTAGGGAAAGCTTATAGAGGTAAGAGGCAAGATTTTCTTAGAGGTGCCCAAAAGAAGCATGTGGGTGGTGAGAGTCACTAGTTGTTTGCAAGGAGTCCTGGTCAGGATATTGGGAAATGCTTTTTCACAATGAGGATTCTTAAGCACTGGAACAGGTTTCTTGGACTGTGGCGTATTTTTAGCTTTGAAGACTTCAAAACTCAACTGCAAAGACCATGTACAAGCTGATCTATTTCAGGCCTTGGCCTGTTTTGAACCTCTTGGTTAGACTGGAAGCCCTTCAGAAGACTCTTCTAACATGAAGTAATAGTAGGTATTATGAAAGAGTAACAGTACTGAGGATTTTGTTTGTTAAAGCTGAAAAATCATCTTTTCTGCTGAATACCTGTCACTCATTTTTTTCCTGTCAGATTATTTCGGATCGCTTTTGTGAATCATGATTATTGTTTTGTTGTTTGTTCCAAGGTAAATTCTGAATATCACTGCCCACTTGTATTTGTTATTCTGGACTTGTCAACTGCGTTTCATCAGTTACGTTAACCGTTTGCACTGTCAGATGAAAGCAGTCCTTTAAAGTGCAGTGAATTTGGAAATCTTATTTGCAATTGCTTTCATGTCAAAGTAAGAACAAAAAGTACRTGATGATCTCTTAAAGGTCATATTGACAAGGGCAGGCTGGTAAGTTCTGTRTGTTCTTTTCTAGGATCCAGATGGAGTCCAACGAAAAGAGCCAGCTGCTTCACCAGCACATTCGGGTGTTCGTCCTACAAGAGTGGTATCCTCCACCTCTGAAGAGGAGGAAGCATTTACAGAAAAATTTCTCAAAATTAACTGCAAGTACATCACTAATGGCAAGGTACTTCAGCACTTGTGTTTCACCACCCTGAACTCGCTTGCTCTATTAAATGGAAAAATAAAGCACACTTAAAATAAAAACAAGACCTAGTGATAGATAGGTGGGTGGACCAACTTGGATCAGGCTATATATGTTTCTCCCTCTGCCTTGTTTTCTTTTCATTCCCAGAGAACTTATCTATTAGCTATAATAAATATGCAATTCACCTGAAATGAACATCCCTGAAGTAAAGATAAAATTTTAAGTGTTGAGGTTAGGAAGTCTGCTTGGTGCCCTGTGTTAGTATTTCTTATCAGTAATTCCTTTCCCTGATGGTGGATAAGCAAATACCTTAAACCCTAAGGAAGTATTTAGGTGAGTAGATTCACTTCTGTTTTCCTAAAGCAGAGCAGAGAATAGAATTAACCTCCAAACAAACTTCCCTATCAAGTGTGGTGTGGTAGAAATCTTGGCTTTGCAATTCTAATGGCTCTTGTCTTGGTGGTGTCTTAACACCTAAGGAATTTGGCCAAATGGTAATTGATTAACTTAATYTCAGCTAATAACTACAGAACTCATGGCTTTTAGAAATCCAGAATTCAAAGGAAGTTTGAATATTATGCTTTCTCGCCCTGCTGAAACATGCCTTTCTGCTAGACACTTCAGTCCTGAAAAACCTTCCCTCAAGCTAAGTGAATGCACACAAACTCATTTACTTAATTTATTCTTCACATGAAGTTCGAGTCTACATGTGTAAATGCTGCTGATTTCCTCCTCTTTCTGAGCAAGATAAGCTTGTAAGTTTTATAGGTACTATAAATCAATGTCTTATGGATTAAGAGCATATATTTGATGTCTCAGAGATTTCCTAAATCAGGACCTACTGAAAAACTCCCTTGAATGTGTTAAGGTGCAATATTAGCAAAGGCTCCGGTTAAGATAAAGCTTTCCATTTGCATGCTTTTAAAGACTGCTTTTTCTATATATGTGCTTGAAGTTGTTCTTAGTCACACTTGCTTCCTGTGTAATCTTACCTTGGGGATTTCCCCTAGATCGGTTGGAGTGTGCAAGCTCTTGTTCTGTTGTGCTTGTCCAGAGACCTCTGGCTTTGGCTGCCGTTAGAGACAAGATGTTGTGCCCTATTAGACATTGGGTGGTGTGAAGGGGCCTGTTATGGTCCTACAGCAGAGTAGCTTGCTGTTTAGTGTGTACATAGCTGGCCCTTTCTGGCAGCTGTGTTTCTGGTTTCTTCCAAACATAATCTTCTAGGGATTTGGAATCTTTTTCAGGATCTTCAGTATCTATCAGTATTTTCAGTATTCTTCTGCAGGGGAAATAGGTTTCCTCCATCAGTTCCCAGTTCTCTGTACTGTTCACTGGGAAGCAAAAGAATATCCTGAAGGTGGTCTGTTTCCGAAATTTTGTTGGAATGGAATTTAGGCTGTTGTCCTTAGTGCCTAAAAGGTAAGAGAAAAGGCTAGACTAGTAAAGAAAGGAAGGTAAAGGGTCATAGGCTGTCAGTTTTATCCTGGGCCTCAGTACTGCCACACTTGGGGGCACTTGTGGAACAGCTGAGCCTTTTTCTGTCACAGTGCATTACTTTGCTGTGTATGACTGACCAGATAAACCTATTCAAAACCTAAAAAGAATTTGTGGTGCTAGGGTGCTAAGAGTTTGTCACTGGCTCATGGAGACAATAGCTGTGAATTACGTGTACTGTAGGAATGGTGATAGGGAAGTTTGTCTGGTCTGTAATGGCAAACTGACAAAGGAATAAAGCTGTAGTAATTCTTCTATAACCATTTCAGTTTAATCTTCATTAATACAAAGATGTGGTACACACTGCCAAAGGCTGGAGCTCTTTCAGCTTTGRCATCCAGGAGGGACTAATAAGCAGTTGTTGACTGGCAGTTTGCTAGATATACGTATGTTCCCCCGACCATGAATTGTTCRGATGTTACCCATTTTTTCTCTTTGGATCAATAGCACTTGGATTGCTGTCCATGCTGGCAACTTAGTCTGAGTAATACAGATCTCACAGGTTGTAAAAAAGCCTTCCTGCTGCAAACCAATTTGATAATAAAGATGGAAGCTCTGCATTTTATAGATGAGCAGCAGAAAATATTAGAGAAATCTTGGTGACATGGCATGTTTGAGAAAGGAGTAGTTAAAATTTAGGACTAGATAAAACCTTTATCTGTCTGCTATTTCACCTGGATTTAGCTACCTAGGTTGACATTCAGTGATCCTTACGTGGTAATGGGGACACCATTCTTAGGCAGGTGGTTTTTCCTATGGTGAGGTTCATCCCTTCCTTTCCAGGGGTGCTGACCACTGATTTTCCTGAGCTTGGGAAACTCAACTTTATTTTTGTAGGGAGAGTGGCCTGGTGGCACAGAATACAAAGAAGGCAGATATATTGAATGCCTTTTATTTTCTGTAATCTTTCCTGTCAAGACCAATCCTTAGGAATCYTAGACCATGAAGACTAGGGAGAAAATCTGGAGAATGGAAGATGAGAGTGTGGATGTGTGTATAAATTATAAATAGAAAGGTCTATCTGTCTAGATTAGACATATTATTTAGATATGTAATGATATATCTTTATATTGCATTATCTACTAATGAAAAGGGTTTATACTGAGTGTTTACCTATTGGTGCAGAGGGCTTCTGGTATTGGTATAGAGGGTTTCTGAAGTTTCTATCTGTGTGTTTAGTTGAGGTTTATAGCAGAAGGCTTTGGAGTTGGTCTGGAGCTGTACATTGGGTAAGTGACCGTGATGGTTTTCCAGCCTCATCAGGTTTTTCAGATCATAATCTGTCTCCTCTAAGGAGCTGCCACACACAGCAGGAGGCCTGAGTATCTTTGCTGCGAGAAGTTAGTAGTAGTGGGCACTCCTTCAGGTGGAGGTTTACCTGCAAAAAGCCCAAATATCTGCTGCAACTCAGGATCTGATGTGTCTAAATAGCAAAAGGTACCATCCTGTTTGTCAAACAGTTTGGAATTTGTCCTGGAAACTTTTTTTTTTTTCTCTCCTGGAAATAGAGGTATGTCCTTGAGAGACTGACAAGTTCAGCTTGTGGTGTTTTGGTGGGTATAGTAGATTTCAATCTGATTGATTGCGGGGAGATACCTATGTAAGATTGACTTCTAAAAGCCTTCACTTTGCAATAAAATACCTCTTTAATCTGTTTTGGATTTGGGCTTCTAGCTTKCTTTTGAGAGCACAGATGCAGTATCACAAGTGACATATAACCCACTAACTAATGTTTGATGGGAAAACATCCTCTCCTATTGTCTGAAGTCTGAGCAGTCTCAGATGCTTTCATTTGCTTTGTGTACTTAATTACAAGGAAGAATCACAAAATAAAGTGAACAAACTAAGACAAAAATCTTAGTCTAGAAAAGATTTCTCTACAGAACCTGATCAGTGATTGCTGCTACCAAAGAATACACAATTGTGGATGCTGGCGTTGTGCTTCAGAAGGCTTAAGCTGAAGCAGTCATGCACCTTTACTTTGCTGCTCCCACCCTTTTCCTGCTCTCCAGCCTGCCTCTTCTGAAGATGATAGTGTGGCATGTGAGCAGAGGAAGGGGGATAGCTTTGGTCCTGAATTTTGACTGTGATGTTATTCGCGTAGGATTTTGGATTCTCTCATCCTTTTGGCCTAAACGGCTATAAAGAAATATTCGTTTGCTGTTGTTCAAACAGCAGTTTGTCTTTGAGGAATAAAGAATCTTGCACGGATAAGCTTTTGATTTTTGTAATATTAAGGATTTCCTTATTTAGAACATCTCAAAAATATGTAGCATAACTTGAATAATTGAAGTTTCACTATCATCCTACTAAAAGTTGATTTTTCTGCAGTGAATTTTAAACTTCTAATGGGCAAAATAGTAAACTTCTTTTAATGGGCAACTGAAATTGTGCTTTTCTAACTACTCAAGAGCTTGGTGTATAATCAACTAGGTTGACATCTGCTACGTAAGAACTATAAGAACTGCTTATATTATGAATATCGGCTCTCTTTACACTTTTATACCAGAAGTTTAAAATATATGCTTATAAATATCCTACAGCAGTATCATTATGATTAAATTCATCCAMAACTGCATCTTGATGTTGTTTGTCATGAAAAATCTTTAATACTTTTAAACTAATTTTGTTCTATAAACTTGTCTAAGTGAGCAATAGGTCTATTAAGGCAGAATGATCAGAATCAGTTACTCCTCTTGCTCTTGTGTGAAGGAAAATGGAGTCAAATGACTGTTTATGATCTTTCATTTTTTGGAATTWAAGAGCTAGAAGAAGACTCTAATAAAATGCTTGATTTTTTTTTTTTGGTGCAAATAGCAGAATGTGCAGAAAAAGGAGGGGCCARTTAGCTGGGAAGAATGTAATTTGGAGCAGCTGTTTAGCTGTGTTCAAGTAACTTTATTTTACTCAGCACAATCACAAAGTAGCTGTGCAAAACAGAGCTGTTTCTTCATGGAGAAGCAAGTCTTGTTGATCAGCTTGTATAGAAAAACTTCATGTTTTGGATTATGACAAAGCATTAGAAGTCGTGGTTGATGACTGCTAAAAGCTGCTCAAATAAATGTTGAAATGKAAATAAATTAAGAGCTTTCCTGTAAGAGAAGTGGGGGCGGGGGGGCAAGAAAAAGGGAACATCACAGAGAAAATTTACCAATTGTTTTCCCTCTCATTTTAGGGAACAGTCAATGGTGTGCTGCTAGTGACGCCAAATAATATAATGTTTGATCCTCATAAAATGGATCCTCTGGTCCAAGAGAACGGCTGTGAAGAGTATGGCATCATGTGTCCAATGGAAGAAGTGATGTCAGCTGCTCTGTATAAGGAGATCGTGGACAGCAAAATTAAGGATTCGTTAACCATGTAAGACAGAAGATTGTTTGAGAAGCTTTGAGTGAATATGAACTGTAGCCCCGTTGGTGATAACGTAAAAATGGAARGCGTAAAAACATAGAAAATGTTTTTTCTATGTAAAAACATAGAACAAACACTTTTTTTGTCCATTTTAAAGAGGAGCACCCAAGATTGGTCTGGAGAGGCCCTTCAATTTGTATTATCTTAAGATCTTATGYTCTATGTACTGTAGAGAATATAATCCATGTATATGGATTTTTAGTATCCTCAAATAATGTTTCTTTAAAATCTGTATACGCTACCTGTAAYGAGGTACTAGAGCGTTTTTTCCCTTGAAATTGCTAATGGATCCATTTGTCTCTTTATGACAATTTAAAAATTGATTTACAGAATGGAAACCTAAACAGTTTTAGATGTAGATCTTTACAGTGTACCACTTTCCTCTTACTTCTGAAGCCAGCTTTACATGCTTTCTTGTGAAAGTGGTTACAAGTATATTTTCAAAGTATTGGTAGTAGAGTTTACCTTTCTTGGCTAGGGAGAAGTGTGTTCTTCAATCTAACTTCATCTGAGGTGAGTGGAGTAAATTTTGATTGGTATACCATGGTCATCGGTGTTTAGCACAATAGCACTTAACACTAACATTAAACAGCTAATTTTATCAAATTTTTGCTTGTTTCCTAATTTTTAGTAATTTATTTTTTATTCTATTTGTTCTTGATTCTGTTGTAAAAAATAGGTTGAATTCTAATATTAAAGTTGAACAGAATCTTGAGAGAAAAAAATRGAAGTAAAAATCATACCACCTTCTATATGTAAAGCCCAAAAGGAGTATAAACATTTGTAGACAGGCTATCTTGATCATCACATTTCATGGAAATAGATTCATTTTCCTCCTCTTCTTATAGATATACACAACTAATTGAAAAAGAATATTAATTTGGGGGGGAGGCTTTTTCTTTAATTCAACCATTGTAAGTAAGGAGGTAGAAGTTGTTTTGTATTCTAAAGTATAAATCTGTTCACTAACTTTGAAAAACATCCTTTTACAACCCCTGCAGGTAGGACTTCTAAGCACATCTATCTTTAATCTTCAATACCTGGACAGCTGGGATAGGCGGGGGAGGAGTGAGGGTGGAATAAATAAAATATATATATATTTATTATTAGGTTGCTGCTGAATATAAGAATAGTATTTGGAATTTGAGACTTAAATAATGTTTCCCAACTATTTGTTTTCTGTGCATTTTTCTGTTATAACTAATACGGTTTTCCTCCTACAATTTCAACAAATTAAAAACCTTTTTACACTTGAAAAACAAAACCCAACAGGAATGCTGAAAATCATCTTACCATTATAATGATCACAATGTAAATAAGTGTTTTTTGGTTTTTTTGTCCCCAAAATTGTAATTTAAACTGATGAAATTGGGGAAAAATGTTTGAAAATACAGAATTGTTATTGACTTCATGAGCCTTATATTGTATTTGTCCAAAAGCACCAATTTTCACTTAAATGATGCAGAAACAACTTTTTGTAATGAGTGGTAAGATCTACCTTGTTCCTACAGATCTGCAACAAGTAGCTTAGATAGCTGAGGTTAGACAAGAGTTCCATCATTCACGCCTTACCAGTGAGCTATGTGTCAGCTTCCAAATAGTGGGGTATACATATACTGCTATACTGGCCTCTTTGGTAGACATAGCTTAAAAGATTGTGGAGAGGTTCTACCTTTAGAATTTCCTAGGATTTTAGTTTATTTGCTTTATTTTTRTACTTTACGCCTCTGGAATGAGTTTGTGGGTTTTGTTGGAGAACATCTGGTTGTTCGTCTGGTGTTGGGAAGTCACCTGGGCAAAAAGTCTGCCACAGACCTGCATTCGTAAGAATGTAATTTATGACTGTTTCTTCTAGATTAAGTTATTTAAGAAAGGAGAGCATTTTTTTTAACTGCTTCCAATATTAAATGATACGTAATAAAAGTTGAATAAAAGACATCTTGTATTATAGCAGTCTTATTTGCTTAACAGAGATATAGAACGTCTGTCTATGAGGGAGCTTTGCCATGCCAAGAAAGCTGCAAGGAGCAATACGGATGAAATGGAGTCAAGGATTCGGGACACAGGCAAYGACAGTGCTAGTACTGCCCCCAGGAGCACAGAGGAGTCCCTTTCGGAAGACGTGTTCACGGAATCAGAACTCTCTCCCATACGTGAGGAACTCGTTTCTTCAGATGAACTTCGACAAGACAAATCTTCTGGGGCATCATCGGAATCTGTCCAGACAATAAACCAGGCTAGCGCAGAATGTTTAACCGTCATTTCAGATTCAAGTGAAGCTCCTGGTGACTTAAAATCTAGCGCTGAACTGACTGTAGATGTTAAACAGTTTAGTACTCCCAGTCTCTGTTCAGAAACTGCTAAAACGTCTCTAAAGGAAGAACAAGAATCTAGTGAAACTGTTGCTGACTCCCTTCAACAGTCTTCGCAAGAATCACATCGCGGTGAAAAGCAGGGCACTCGGGCAGAAGACCAAGATTCCACACAAGGAAATGACCCGAAGGGGGAGAGTAAGGCAGGAGGGGAATGTTGCCCTTGTGAAGGTTCCACAGGCTCTGAAAAGAAAGAGACAACTAGCAAAGGAAAACTGGTGCAAGAGCCAACTCAAAACTTGGAGACAGAAGTCGAAGAACTTCGAAAACTCTGGAAGACCCACACTATGCAACAAACCAGGCAGCAGAGAGAGCACTTGCAGCATGATGCACAGAAGGAAATGAGTCAGAAGACCATGGCTGTGGGAGATGGGCAGCTAGAAGGTAAGGGGATTGATATTTATAGGTAGAGATTTGAAATATTTGCATCCAATTCCCCAGAATTTTCCCTTCCTATGCTTTTACTCATCATGTATATCATTCTGTAGATTACATATTTGCTYATATTCGTCCTAGTCTTCAGTGATAAGCTGTGCTTTTTAGTAATTTTGAAAATTCTTAAAAATTGAAAACACAAGTTATTCTGTGTTTTTAGTCTGTGTCTATTCCTGGCACTTTTTCCTCATTGAAATTACATTTGTCATCTTAATTCAATATACTGTTCGCTGAAGTTTTAAATGACCCAGTTTCACGAGGCATTGGTCACTGTAGAGCTCCATGAAAAATATTCCTTGGCAGTCAGCTAACTGACTTAAATCTTGATCCTGCAGTATCTGTGTATGAATGTGTATCACTGAATGAGTTAATTTTTGGAATATGAGCACTTAGATACTTAATGAAGGTTTAACATGAAACTGTTTGAGACTTAAATTGACTTCTTGGGATTTGTTTTACGTCCATCTTTTTAGTCTTTCTTGCTAGGTAGAACAAAGTGAAACATATGAAAAGCATTTCTTAGTCTAAATAAGAGCTAGATAATAAGATGCTAATAATAAGCGACGAACGTGGGAAACAGGTAGACTTTTATTTCCTTGAGTACCATTATTGCTCTGTAAGGGTCAGACCCAAGTAGTATTATCTGATAAGTATCTTGAAAAATCTATAAAAACTTACTAAATACATCTAAAAGTGTCTCTTAAGCAAGTGAAGATGATGTTCTTGGATTYATTTGCTTTGCCTTTTAAAAAATCCCTAGGCCACTTTCTGATGTCTTTTAATTTCATTATTGGATGTGAATTAATCATTTTAGTTGTACAATGTTTGAGGACTGTAAAGAAGTCATAACAATATCCATTACAAATGGAGTTATTTGAAGTGTATCTGCAAGTTCAAGTCAACTTCTGCTCCTAACTAGTAACTGAGGTGGTATTGCATAAAAGTATATTTTGGGGATTGGCAGAAGTTAATCTTCCACTTTCTTCCTTTGCAGTTGAGGAACTGAATTTTGAAATTTCAAGTCACTCACTAGTTGCACCATTCTGTGATGATTTGGCTTTGATGTTGTAAACCACTAGAGGAAATCCTCTGCTAAAAACATCAGCTATTGGTGCTTGCTGCTTCTGACCTCAAACAATGCTGACACTAGTATCCCCTGCCACCAGTGCTGCTGCACTAGAATTGAGTTATGCATAATTCAAATAACGTACTAGACACTGATAGTTTTGTCAGTTTTCTGAAAAACTCTTACATTAAATGATGYGAATGATGCTGCAGATTTTTATTGTGCAACTGGTGTACCAACCATCCTGGAGATTGTGGGGATAAAGCAGAAAGGGAGAGGGGARGAAGCGGGGGAAGACCACCTTTTTGTAGGCTTGTGCCCCTGGCTTGCATTGGAATTGTTCTGTGTTTCTCCTTAGCTTGAATGTTGTATTAACAGAATTAGCAAAGAGAACAGCAAATTATGAGTAAATGCTTTCTCTGTCTCGATAGTTTGGTGAAGCTTCTGCTAGCTGTGTGTACAGGCACATGTAAGTAAAGCCAACCTAAAAGTATGAGCTGTTCACACACCAAAGCCTAAACATGACCCAGATGGATCGGTCAGTAGTTTGCCTGTCACTGATACTGAGACACTGTGGACAACTTTAGGTCCCTGTTGATAGGTCTAGCTCTCTGCTGTAGTTGTCCTGGTTTCATTCCAGTGTTTATCTAGGTGGGCTTCTCATCTTCCACATGTAACAAGGACTTACTCAAATTTCTGCTCTCTTAGTGGTGTTTTGAGCACCTAGGTTTTTGGGAACTAGTGTTTGCTAATCCTTACTGAGGTCAAACGACTCAGGGTTTGGAATGACGATTACTTTATTTTTTCCTAAAAGCAGYTTGGCTGATGTGAAGCAACCTTGCCAGCATTAACAGTCCAGAATGGCTGAGGAGACCTCCTTCAATTTTTATCTCCTGCCTTTACTCCATCACCCCCTGGAMTCTCTCATTCTTTGCTGTTTTTACAGATTCTTAGATTAACCAAAAATATTGAAGCTAGAGGTAGTTGAAACTTATAAAGAGTTATAGTGGTATGCTGCCACATGTGTGCAAACTTAAGTACACCACTGAGACCAGAGGTTGGTTGGTTGTTAAACTTTGATTGTGTCTTCTGGGTGAATCTATATCTTTCATTCTCGCAGTACAAATCCAATTTCTCTGAGCTCTTAGCTTAGAGAACTTTYTAAACCCTTTCATCTGATGAAGCAAAATCCTAAATATCCAGTTCTTTTGAGTCTCTTTTTTAAAAGATGACTTGTACAGGGTTTGTGCAAGTCACACATTGTTTTTTAACCTGGCAATTATCTTTGAATCTATGTGCTTATGTAAAGCACTTTAAAATYATAAGTGCTGCCACTGGCCTTTCATTTTAAGTACCTACGGTATAATTCCAGACTAATGCAACGGATAATCATGAAGCATATATGCTTATTGAAATATTTGCTGAAAAACACTTTTTATGTAGAGCAGTGCTCTGCTAAACCTGGAATGGACAGCCCGTTAGGAAAAGCAGACAGAGATGTGTATATATGTGGTCATGAAAATGATGAGCTAGTATCAGTAGTCTACAGGGTTGCTGATAGCAAATTTAAGCTTTAGAAGCTCTTGGGTATCCTAGAAAACTGAAAGATTGATATATGTGACTTCAGAAAGAGCTTAAATCCTTTATGGTCTTGGTTGATCATCAGAATGCTTGAGACTTTTTCCCTCTATCCTTTAAAAAGCCTCATATAGCTTTTTTGTAGAGTTTAGGGGTCTGATATTTTGACAGTTTGTTTGGCAAGGCAAGAGGATTGGAAAGACTTTTTCAAGTTAATGCTGGCAATCCAGACCTTGGCTATAATGGGAATATTCTCTTAGTTCCATTAAATAGACTATTGGAGAGAGTCCCATACAGCGCTATCCACTGCACTTACTTCATAATGTATTTATACCTTTGAAATGTTTGAAATAGCTGACAAATTAATCTTTGTCTTAATTTTTCAGTAGTGTGGATATTGTTTGTTTGTTTGGTGGTGGTTTTTTGAGAGTGGGAGGAATGTTCAGTTATGCTCAGGGCTATCCTGAGAATACCTTCAGAAACACTTCAAGCTATGGATGAAAGACTAATACAGTGGGAACTGGGGCTGGAAATAGAAATGAATGTTTAATTCTGTTGATATAATTTACAAGCACTTTTTCATTTGTTGTGAAACTAGTGCAACGTATATACTAGTATGCACTAGTACAGCAATACAGGCACATGTGTATGACCTACACGCGTATGTTCCCCAATACAAAATTGACGAATAGTTTTGTTTAGCTCTGCAAACAACAGATAACTGGTTTGTTTTTGGTTAAAAGGTTCTGGTGTAATGAAAGAAAAACGAAGACATCGATCACACAAGTTCTTGCGTCTCAAGGTTGGAAAACCCATGAGAAAAACATTTGTTTCCCAAGCAAGTGCATCAATGCAACAGTATGCACAGAGGGATAAAAAGCACGAGTACTGGTTTGCTGTTCCACAAGAAAGGTAATGAGATGGACTGGAAAAATCAACATTTTTCAAGGTGTCTTTCAGATGCTTTTTTCTTCACTAATCTAAGTTGATTTTACATTCAGTATTAAACATGAGGGACAAACCTTGTTTTAATTAGTGATTTTAGCAGATTGTGGCATGCTCTCTTTTCTCCCATCGTAGTAGAACAGAATGAGAGCGTGTGTGTGAGTGTGTGAGTGTGTGAGGAAATTCATAGGGAACCTCCTCTCACTTCCTTTAATCCTGACTTGTTAGGTCACCAAATGAGGATGTTGATGTYTGGCTTGTATTTACAAGCTGAATGCCCTCTTACCATAGCAAAGTTTTCCTAACTCTGCAGGTTCAGTCAATATCCTGCCTACCCTAATTTGGAAGCTTTAAGGCAAATTCTATTGTAACTTCTAGAATCGGAGTTCAGGAGAGGTAGATAATGTTGCTTAGTCTTTTCATCTTTGTAAGTGAAACATACAGCTTTTCTGGGAAGTGAATTAAACGTTTTTACTGGAATAACATCTAATTTTCATTCAGTCAAAGATATAGAATAGCCATCCTTGTTTGTGGAAAGGTGTTGAGTTTCATAAGTCGCCATGTGTTAGTGGGGGGTGGGAGAGGAAGAACAGAAACTTCCAAGTTGAATAGGGATTTCTAGGTGTTAGATCCTATGTTCTTATCAGAAGATCTTATGCAATATAATTTTTTTTGGCATGTGCTTGTTTTTTTTAAGCATCTGAACACTATGATCAAGTCACTTCTCCATCTTCTTTTGAGCTGAATGGCCAGTTGGGGCACTGCAGTTGAGCACAGATATAAATCAATTGGAGAGAGTCCAAAGAAAAGCAGCAAGGCTTGTGCGTGCCTAGCAAGTGTAACATAGAAGGAAAAGGGATTCTTTAATATCAGAGTAAAAAGTAAATGGGATTCTTTAATATCAGAGTAAAAAAAAAAAAAGTCAGTGACAAATATAAAAGTCATAGTGTACTTATATTACCTGCAGCAAATAAGAATAGTATTCTTTCCATGTCTATTGCAAATGGAGAAAAGTGGTGGACTGAAATGGTATTGAAATATCTAAGTTTTCCAATGGGAAGAATGGAGTCCATGCTAGCTCATCACTTCTCCACTGTTAAGCCCTCTGAATGGTGAAGATCTTGCATTTTCTTGGTGCAAATTTCCATCAGAGTGTTTCTGATAAAGATAATCCTGTCTGGGCCAGGTGACTTCCTGTAGTTTCTCTCCAATTTTCTTGTTTTCCTGTGTTTAAAGATAACYAAAAGTTTCCTCTGTAGCAAATGTTCGGATCACTTAATTGAAAGGGTTGACATCTCTTTGACTTATTTGATGGACTTCAACATAAAGTGGAAGTTATGGTGTCATCCAACTTAATCCAGGACTTATCAGCCATATCTGATCTCGCTGATATTGCCTGTACCTGTGAATGGTGTGTGGCTCTAACTGCATGGGAATTATTGGGTCTGTATCCACACAGTGCAGGTCCTATTGACTCTTTACACTAARGAGATCAGATCATTCATGGTGGGGTTTTCCCTATTTGTTTTCTTCAATAACTTACAGAGTTTTGCTCTGTAAGTTCAAATATACTTACTGTCAGCACAATTGTCTTTGTTAGCCAGTGGTAAGGAAGAAAAAKTGTAGGGATCTGACAATTTTACTGCCTTTCAGTGTTCTAATTCCAAAGGAATTGGCTTTAGAAATTCCTTCAGCATATTTTGTATACTTGTTTTGAGCTGCTATGACTAAATATAAACTTCTAGGCATTTCCTGATTCTCCTTGCTGCTTTTAGCACCTCTGATAGAATTTAGATCTATACATCTAAAGTTTTCTCCTCTCACTGTTACAGAAGAATGTTGTATGGTTTCTTTCTTTCTATTTTCTTTTATGAATACCATCCTGAAACTTTCATTTTTAAGAGCTCTGACTTTGACTGACCCTCTTTAGAGGCTTTGATACATACCTGTGTAGTAAATTCTTGTAGATAGAGGCAAATCATAGCGGCATTTTTGAGTTTTTGCTGCTTTATAGTATTATTCTTCCAGTGTTCARCCTTCTAGGGGTTTAATAAAAAGATGAAGGAATTCCAAACATTCTTCGTGTTAGCCTATAGTTCTGAAGTCTTTTAGATGAAGAGATACTAGCTGGTTTACTGAACATCCTTCTATAAGCTCTGCCTATTCCCGCACACGGAGTGCTTAACGAGTAGACAAATGCATGTCRGGCTTGTTGTAAATAGCTTTCTTATGGGAATTGGCATTTTGTTCTCCCTAATAGAGAGATCCCTAATCTCCATGCTGTTTCTGGAGATCACGTAAATGGAGGTAAACTGAATGTACTTTAATTACAATTAGAGTAGCTTATAGTTTGATTTGTTTGTGTATATTTCCGTTTCCAGTGTTGTTTCTCCTGTARTAATCCTCAGTCTATATCATTTTGTTACCTGTCTTRGATAGGTACCCAAGACAGGTAACCCAATTCTTTGGGTTTTCTTCAGAGTGGAAGAAATAAACAAAATAGGAATTATGTAGATAAGGACATACAAACACTTAAGTTTTAAAATGAAATAGCTGAACGCTTTCTGTTTATTTTGGAGGAAGTTTCTTGGTTATATGCAGAAGATTTTTTATAGGACACAGAACAGTGGAAGGACTGTGAGTGCATGAAGAGACAACTAGTCAACTAAATTATAATATAAAGCTGACACTGCAGGAAAAGGAACTCATCTGAAAATGAACAAATARCATAAGGACTATTGTTTTTGAAATATATCCTGAATAATCTAGTTAGAGTATTATTCTAACTTTAAATTTCACAATTGCTAGGCGAGGTCTGAAAGAATACAAACTTACCTTTTCTGTATCATTATYTGACTTCTCTAGGACAGACCACTTGTATGTCTTCTTTATCCAGTGGAGTCCTGAGATATATGCAGAGGATACTGGAGAATCTATTCGAGAACCTGGATTTATAGTAATAAAAAAGAATGAGGAGGCTGAAACTAGTGAAGAAGCTACTGCTGAAGAAGCTGCTAAAGAGTGGGAGGTAAGGAAGAACACCGTCAAAGTGGTGTTTTTTGTTTTTTTTAATATATACTTGAAAATACTTGATACTTAACCATTTTTATGAGTGTTTAAATAAAGCTGTATTAGGCGGTACACAATCATAATTGTTAAATTGTGCCRTTTTAATGCTTTGCTCTAGCATCAGTTCAGGCAACATTTCACGATTGCRGTTTGCTCTGTACTAGGAGGATTTGTAACTTAAAACTCAGAACGGAACTGGTAATTTTGATAAAGCAGATTTGCCTGTCAGTACTTGACTGAAAAGTGTGCATTTTTGTCCTATGGCACGCTGAGTATGCATTTGATAGGTCTCAAAACAATAAGACCACAAGCAAGGAAATAGAAAATATTTTTATTGTCATGTTATTAACAATTTGGTAATTACCTCGTATATAAATTTGTAAAATGCTGATACTTAGATTACGTTTTAGTAATTAAGATTCTGTCGATGAAATTATTTTTTCCAATTTCTTTTTGTAGCAAGCACATAACTCCCATGTGAATCTGTGTCCACTGTGTTTATATGGACACATCTTTACATGTCTCTGTGGTTTTGTTTCCTAGTGTACGTACAATGAAAGCACTAGTAGTTCTGTGTGCAAGTTTGTTGGTCCAAACTAGTTCTTGTTGCATAAGCTGTTGCAGTATCCACCAGCGTTGTTTAACTCTAGTCTTGGGATAATAATTGTAATCTGACTGTGAGCCTGTCTTATTTGAGTATGTAGAAGTCAGTGATCTGTTTTACCTTTGCTTTACCTAGAGTCTAAAATCTTAAATTGYAGTAGCTTAACCATGAGTAATAACACTTCCTATCCTTTAAAGTTAGAATCCCAGTAGCATTCTAGCTTCAGACTTCTCAGTTAAAGTATTAGGCTGTGGATAACAGAACACTGAAGCTCTGAAGCTAAAAGTTTGGCTTGGAGTCTTGCTTTTAAGATAYTGAAATTAGTATCATATTATGCATGTTTTGTCGCAAACTCTTCCTATTCTAGTTTTTAGCATGCCTGTTGCAATCTGGCTACCAGCAATATACCTTGGTAATAACTCTCATTCAAAGATTTTTATAAGTATCTGATCTTTTGAAATTTTGCCTTTTGGAGTGCAGAACAGGCTGGTGTGTGATCTCTGTTATGGCTAAGGCACAGGGTAACTTTGTATATGCTGTTTGAATATGCTGTTCAGCAACTTCATCTTAAGGTAAATAGATCACCATTTTCACAGAAAATAGTTCACAGTGCAAAACTTTCATGAG